CACGTCCAAGCCGACGGCTGAGACAATGGGTACTTCCACAGATTGCACTGAGATGGCGTCACTGAACATGAAGAGCCACCCAAACATCACCCAAACCATGTTTCTTGCAGCCCTTAACCCCAAGCTCCTGTCAATTCTACATCGCCCAGAACTTCCAACATTTTACATTTTGCTTTACCTTGATAGTCATCACCCACCACTACCAAGGGACTAAAAAGTTGAGTCATGACTGGACTTCCAGGCTTATAGTCAGTTCATCTCCCACCTACCACCGAGCCCACGGAGCTACTGGACTGGTCGGTCCATGACTGGAGCTTGGAGTATTTGGAGTCAAAACGCTTCACCCAAACCCTTCAAAGCCAAAGGCTCCGCGGCCGCGTAGACGTCACGGTCACTCCACCGGGGCCTGGACTTCCTCGGTCCCGGCACCGGCGGCACCGGCACTCGCGTCGGGTTTTTGCGGCCGGAAGAGAAGGGGTGGTGAGTGATGCTTTGAAGCAAAACCAAGTCATTGGGAGTTGTGGTGTTGTGATGGTTCTGATGCCGAAACGATCAAAAACGCCTGTGAAAGCTTGATCAATTGCCTTCTGGGAGGAAGACCCACAGGTTTCATGCTGGTCATTCTTTGAGGCAAATCTTTGACCACAAGTTTTGGACAGATTGGAGGAGGTTCCTACTAGGAAGATCCCAAGTGCTAGGATCCGAACTTGAGTGCCCAAAAACCAATGACAGGCTTCAAGTCGTTGCGGTTTTTGTGGCACACAACGTCATGGCGGCTGCAATCATACGAATGGTTTGGGTGCTTCTAGTTCAGCGGGATGTGAATAGAAAACTGCAGCTGCAGCGGGATGTGTCAAGTTTCGGGCGGCAATACGCACAAATCGATGTCTGCAACCATGCATCCGCAAGAGTCTCATGAGCAATTGACTTTGCTTGCTCAAGTTGGAGAGACCTGCACCAGCAAACAAAACGGAACTCAAAAAAAAAAAAAAAAAAACCTACGTCGAATTCACGTGCCTTTGTAGGACAGCGCATCCAAAAGAGGCATCCCACCTGCCAACCTTCCATCTTGTGTGTGGATATCTCCAAAAACCCTTGCTCTCTGAACACTCCCTCAGTCGGGCCTGTGTCGATCTTCTTCACCGGCTCCGGGGTCGAAGTATCCCCGAGCTTTCTCACATGATCGTTCGGCAAGACACCTCAGTCCACTCGAGCCGTCGCCGTCGCAGACCGGATCTCAGGGATGTCGCCAACTGCGGCACCATGGCGAAGGACCCCACGCGTGAATCGATCAGTAAGAGTGGGATCTGGGTTCAAGCACCGTATAGAAAGCCCCTGTGGTTTGCTTGCTACATGCTGGTCCTCCCTTTGGGGTCTCCAAATCTCACTTTTGGGCCATCATCTACAGTTGCCAGGTGGAAAGTCCATGGAAAACCTGTTCCATGGTAGCTCATCTCAAATTCCAGTCATGATCAATCAACAAGGTGGGTTGGTCTCCCAAAAATGCTGTGATCGTCCATCTGGGCTGCCCTGGCTGGTGGAATTGTCCGACTTCCACATGATGCAGAAGCTGCCATCCGGATTCCTGGGCTCATTGCAACTGGGGACCTGGATGACAAACATAGGACCTGGGTCCAGCCTAGCTCACATTACCAACTGCAGTAGCTGAACACACTAAGTCATAACTGAACACTGGGAAGAAAAAAGCTCGGCCGGCAAGCACTTTCTGATCGCTAACCCCAACACTCATGCTTTACAATCTTGGCAAGGATCCGGGCCACTTGGTGGCCCACTTGGTGTGTTCAAGGTTTGCAATCTTGCTTGAACACTTTCAGGACCGGTGGTATTGCGCATCAAAAAGCTTCTGAAAAACGGTGCTTTTGGGACATCACCTTGTGTACCACGAGCTCTTTGCGTTGTACACACAAAGAGGGATCTAACTCCTGCTGTTGCATGCAAATGGGTCCAAACACGGAGACCCAAACGCTTGACCTACCTGGTGGACCGGTCGAACTCGCACCATGGGCGGACGGGTCAACCCCTCCACCCCAACTCCCACATAGGCTGGAAAGAAAGGGGGCGCGGTCCTACTTCGATCGGGCTCTAGTCCACGGTCCACGGCGGAAGAACGAAGGGGAATGGCTTTGTTCAAACGAAAACAAAGCAAAAGCAACCTGCAAAGGTTGTTGAGGTCCGTGTGTCTTTGCACAAATATATATATATATATGCGCAATATATATACATATGTGCAAGTGGCGGCCAGTAGACGCAAAGAACACTTCCTGAGGAAACACGTGAACAATTATGTAGAGCTGCACTACTAGTAACATAGACACAGGACACAAGAAACACAATTCCTCTGCCAATAAGCCATGTTCATCTCTATGTTGATGGGTAGAATATGAAGAATGTCACTCTAAAATTGCTATCTCAACATTGTCTGAGACATTGTCCAACAATGAAACGTATTTTGGAGGAAGCCTTTCGTGACTGATTGAATGCAGCTGGAAAGTGCTTCATTGAATCATCTTAGCACATCTACTCTGCTCAAACTACGACAGCGACCCTCAAGTGCCTTTGGAGGCTTTGAAAAATTACTTACCTCCAGGTGGGTTGTGTAAGCTTTGGGAGAGTAAGTCTTGTATGAGTGCTCGCTCCCCTTCAGAACCTGTTCCGCCACGGCTCACTCGAAGGAACTTCACCGGTAGCCAGCAGCTGAAATCAGGCCAAAAGGCCTGTCACGAGGCAAGCTCCCAACAGCTGAGTTCCAGCCAAATCGGCCATGGGTTTGTTTGGCCATGGGTTTGGCCCCCCTGGAGATTGGACATGAGAATTTGGTCATTCTTCTTCCTGGCCATGAAGACTGGACTTTGGCCCAGCCCCAAAAACTGGACGTGAGACGACTGGGTCATCTGTCTACCCCCCGACCGACTCCGAGCTCGGGCCCGACACCGGGCGAAAAGACCTTCTCCACCCAACCGGTTTGGGGGTTTGGACCCGAACCAAACCCGAACTCCATCGGAGTTCGGGCCGAGACCCAGCCTTCCAACCAACCCTGCCAACTGGCTGACCTACTGGACTCCGATCGGTCCATCAGGCTGGTCCTTTGCTCGTTTGAAACATCTGCAAGGAGGCCAGTGGAGGCGATGCCGCTAGGCTATGCCCTACAAATGTCTGGATTCCCTGGGCTCTTTTTCTGCAAAGCAAGAGCAGACATGAACCATAGTTGCTATGTGACTCACTACCACGTTTTTGAGTTAAAATCATGAGCGTCCAAAGATATCCAGGTCCTCACTTCCTGGGTTTGTCATCCGTGGTCTCCCCTGAGGTTGCAACGGATTTCGAACGGACCGCAAAACGGCCACTCGGACCGCCACGCCTCCACGGTGGTTCCTGAGGTGGGACAGTCCAACCTCAGTCGGACGTGCCAGAATGGCACTTTCGGACTTTCGGAACGTCGTCCAGCCGATCCGACGTCGCGCCATCTGATGTCGGGAGTCAGAGCTTCACCAGAGAAGGCCCAATCCCTTTCCTTCTCTACATGAGTCTATTGGGGTCCATACTGATTGTGCCAGGTGCGAATACAAAATTCTTCCCCCCATGAGAAACGCAGTAAAGAGTGATGAATCTCACTGCCAAAGTAAAAGGTCGTGCAAGCATTCTTTATACCAGAATATTTGGATCTGGGAACAGGTTCTTCAGAAAACGCATCAGAAACCGGTGTCGAAGCAGCCTCCAGTAGGCATCGAAGAGCTTGTCTTTGCCCTTTTCACCTGAGTTCAGCTAAACCCCCGACAGCATGACATCAGCACATTGCCCAGAGGGGAGATGAATCAGTAGGGTGTGCGTTTCTTCCACTTGTTCGACTGATGGTGGTATAATCTTCTATATTAAAGCTCCTTGCATCTCCACCCTGCTACTGTAGCATCATTCTTGGCTTCCCTGGGGCTTCACACGAGATTCATAGGGTGAGTCAGCCTGCAAAGCAGGCTGCTTGGCTTGGGCAGCCTGCAAAGCAGGCTGCTTGGCTTGGCAGGTTGAAGGAGAGAGAAAATCAATCATGGAGATCCTCTAACAATCCTCTGCTGGGTTTCATGGATACCTCGTAGGCAACACCTCTTCCGGCTTTCAGGATCTGAACTAATTACCATGCAGCAAGAACCTGCATGAAAAAGGATCCTATCACACGAGAAGTAGCCTAGGGCTGAATGTCAGCGTCTACCTTCAACTGACTTTCTCAAGACACCTACAGTACGCGCCAGCGCGTGTGCACGCGCACGGGCACTGGGCCTCCATCTGGGCCATTGCAAATGAGTTGAGTTTCAGTGGATACTTCCAGAGCTTAGCCGTCCGACTTTGTGACTTGCCGATGCTGTATGTCTTATGAATGAAGTACAAGAATCCTTACGATTGAAAAGGACAGGAACCATCTTCGGGGGCTGGGTCGGCCGGGTTCCATGGAGTCGCATGATGTGTCCGAAGCTCTTATTGATTATCTTCTGCTTGTCGTGCTTATCAACTTAACAACTTTGATATGTCTGTTCCAAATGTACAAAACAAAGAGCAGCAATCAAATGTGTGTTGAACTCAGCATGTTGAGGATAAAATCATTGCCTCATAGGCTTTTCTGTGGTGGCTGGATTCTTCTCATGCTCTTTGCGATGTTCTCAACCTCATGTTTCTATTGGCTCTCCTGCAACGGCTCATGAAACTCACAGGAAATGTGGCGAGAAAGGCCCGAGGAGTATTCGAGCTGCTTCTCCATCGGATGCTGTGGGACACCAAACCATTCCCAACCACTTCGTCTTGGCCAAAAAACCTGAGCCATGCGAAAAAGAAGATGCAACAAGTATACAGATCGAAGACCTACAAAGTAAATGCCCATCCAATGAATATCTACAAGTACAACGAACGCGCTCTCGCGCTTCCAACTTCCGCACCGTCCAGAGCCACGGACGAGCTCGCTCCACCGGGAACGGGCATTCGGCGGGAACGGGCACCATCGTGTAGCCACGTAGTCCGTGAGCACGGGATTTTGAGCCTCACACCGTCGCACAGCGGTCTGGGTGAGGCCCGACTCGCCAGGATCGCGGGCAGGGAACTCGCAGCGTTCTGCAGGTTCTTTTTCATCAGGACGACGACTTTAGACGTTTCATGGGAGAATTCCTCCATCTCAACGGGTCCAGTGACTAAACTGAGATACGCACACTTCTCCAAGAAACATACGAACAGGATCTACGTGACAGGAGGCTTTTGGACATTTGGAATTATTTGGAGAATCAATGTCGACCAGATCTTGCCGAGTTCAGGGTAATGTTCATGGACCTACTCCTGTTTCAGACCTACTCGGTATACTGTGTACTTCAGGAGGAAGAAAGTGTTTTACCGCATCTTACCACATCTATGTGGATCAGCCGCGGTCGAATTAGGAAGTCTATTTCGCGTGGCCGGTGTGGGAGGGTCAATTATCACGTTCTCTGACATGTTTAACATTTAAACGGCTTTGGAGGAAGGAAATTCGACCGTGTCAAGTAAAAGTAACAACTTGCAGGATTCCAACTTGCAGGATTCTACGGGGAAAGGGCTTTTAGTTTAGAACCATCTAAGAAGAACAGCTTTTGTCCTAGTGGTGTATCCTACCAAAAATATGCGCCCCCTCCAAACCTGCAACTCATCCCAGCAAAGAAATCATCCCAAGTTATCCGAAGTTGAGACTATTCCATACTCTTTGTCCTCCTCAAGATCTGTGCCAAGCCACGTTGTCCTGCTGCTGCACAACACTTCTTGCCAGGCCAAAGTCGCAGACCTCATCAGAGACCAACTCACGGACCGTCAAGAGAAAAAGCCTATAGAAAACCCTTGCCGGACCCCTACAGTCTGCTCTTTTTGGGGGGGGGGCTTCCCGTACTTTCACGTCACAATGTTGGGCTCCTTTCATCGCCTCAATCCTCCATCCCTTCACACACCCGGCTCCCCGCCCCCACGGTGTCCGGTCTGGGCTTGCGGCCTTGACTTGGCAGTCCGAATTTAAGAGGATGTTCGAGGGTTTGATGTCCCGGTGAAGCATCTGCACCAAAAGGACAACCGGCGCGACGAACGGATGGCGCGAAGGGATGAAACATGGTGTGAAGCAGAATGAAAGAAGTGCAACACGTGACTGTTGAACAGCCAGGTTCATGCACCGTCCCGGGCTCGTGCCGACCGGCAGCACCGCTCCATCTCATGATCGTCCCACCAAAACGACTCCCTGACTCCCCAAATCTCATCCCAAATCGCCCACTTGCAGCTTGCAGTGCTTCTTCGGAGTTCGGTTCATGTCTGTTCTGTCCCCCCAGTCCTGCAAAACAGGTCTGAAACACCCAAAGAATGATTGCTCCTCCTTCGCCGCCACGCGGGCCGCCAACCTTTTGCTTCGCTCTCGCCGCTCCGCTCTCTCCCGCTCCGCCGACCGGGTTGCCGTTGCGGAGCGTCGATCCCCGACATCTCTCGATCGGATCCAGACCGCACAGGGGCGACATGCCGCATGCCGGTGAGACGTTGGCGACTGATTCCTTCCTGCGACTGGTCCATGATCATGTGGTGTCTCGGCATGCACAGCAACCCAGGGGATGTGGCCCTATGGTCGACCAGGAAACAAGCGCGAGTGCGGCGGGTGCTGTGGTATGGTCCCTACTGGTGGAAGCAAACCTTCGCAATTTTCACCTGTCTACAGGCAGTTGTGATCTATGTCATGTTCCAGAATATATATATATATATGTATATATATATATAAACAAATGCTAGCAAACCAAAAGAGGTAGACACTTGAGGGAGGGTGATATATATATATATACATATACATTATTATACATGTATCATCTGCCCATGATCAGCCTCAACAGACACTCTTCTCAAATGCAAATCCTCTTCTCCGCACACTCGCAGCTGTACCTTCCCCCCTCAGCCGCTGGTTTCAGCTTCAGGCTGCCCGTGACCCGCCGATGAGTTGTGATTGAGAGCTGCCCCATTATGCCATTAGTTGTGGAAAGTGACTTAACTCTGAAGTGGATCGCCCCAAAACAGGGCAGATCTGGCACCTCATGTTCATTTCCAGTGGAGTTTTTTGAAGTTTGTCTACCCACATAATTATGAAGCAGCGAATGCGCTGGCCATTTTTCTGTTTACCACTGGGGGGTTTGGTGTCCTGTGGTTTCTAGACAAAACCTTCCAACCAAAAGAGCAGGCAAATGAATGACCAACTCCAAAAGCAACCATTTCAGAAAGCAACGCAAACAATGTGCTTTGGCTAAACTGCAGCAGATATCTCCCAGATTAGCCTGTTGCAGTTCGGGCGATCGGAAGTGGTCTCTAGAGATCGTGTGGAAAAGAGAGAGGAAAAAGGTACAGAAAGCAGTACCAAACATTGGTGATGAGACCAAAGCTCCAAGCACATGCCCCTAAAACTGTCGACCCATGAAACTCTTGATCCCCTGAATGAGGTAAAATGACTCTTGTCGAAGGTGTTCATGCGTTCATGCAACTCTGCTCGTGTGGTCGGGGAATGGACGCGGGCAGCCAGACACTGAAGGAGGATTGCAGAATCTCGTTCTCTTTGCAGGTGAAAACTGGAGGACTTCTTAGAAAGGAGAACCTGTGGCCCTCATGCGAACCTGCGAAAAATCCGTCCCTTCGACCCAACGATGTGATGGTGGATGAAGCAACGCGGCAAGAACTTGGAAGGCGATTCGCCCCAAACACAAGCCTCACATCAGCTGTGAAAAAAATAAAAACAGACTACGGAGGACATGGCCCATGTTTCTTGCGGTTCATGTGGGTCCCAAACCACCCTTACTTTTTTCGAGACCTCAGCGGTCCAACGACCAGGTCGTCCCGGTCACAGACGCCTTGCGAAACGAACCAATAGCGTGTTCGACCCAACTCCGGTTCCGGAGGGCGTATCTCATCGTACCTAGTTCGACCCGCAGGCCACGAGCATCTGGTGCTTCTGGGGATATTGAATCATCTCATCCACCAACTAGCGTCCTTGCTCCTAGTAAGGCCACAAGCCCCTAGTAGCGTCCTTGCTCCTATGCCAGGAGCCCCTAGTAGCTTCTTGTTCCTAATAGCGATGCCCTTATTACTAATAGCTATTTGCTCCTAGTAGTAATGCACTTCCTCCTAGTAGCGATGCCCTTTGTTCGGTTCGTAGCGTCCACAGCTTCTCTGCGTTGTGCTGCAAACGCTTCATCCGACCGATTGAACATATCAACGTAGTCAGTCGCATCTTGTCTGTGGCATCCAGGGCTTCGAGCTGCAGCTGTGATGAAGACCCCAACTGTTGATTGCGACGAACCATCAGCTTCTCCTTTCGCGGCCTCCGCCAGCCCAAAAAATTCCAGGGCCAGATTGAACGCCACTGGCACGTTGAAATCATTGGGAAGGTTGAGGGGAAGAAACGTCCCCACACGTGTCTGAGATCCTTGATCGGCTTTGGGGGGATTGCCACCAATTTGTTCCCCTCAAGAGTAGGAGCTCAGATCAATGGAAAGCTGCTCGGCAACGCCTCAGACCCGCCGGGAGGGTGGCCGTTGATCTGTGGGTCGAAGATCCGACGAACCGCACGGCCCGGACGGAGTCGCACGAAAACGAGGAAACAACGAGTGATGGGGTCCAATCAATCGCATCCTAGCCAAGGGGGAAAACGGATGCCTCCAGATCACTTCGAGGAGGTTTACTTCCAAGTCCTTCACCCCCTCAATCTGGCCCCCCCCAAAAAAGAGGCTCAGGGCATAAAGGTGTCAGATTCTTGGCTTACAAAAACGACAGCAACTGGTCCCCCCTGCCGAGCTCTTGGGTTCTGGAGGAGCGAGCCCTTCGATTCACCCAACTGTCACACCTTCAAGGCAAGCCCGGCAGTGTCACGCTTTCTCTTGGATCGATCCAGCTCCATAAACACTCAGCCCTTCTCCATGTGAGAAAAAGAGAGCTGCATCCCCACCCATCCCACCATGGACCACCCCAAAAGAAACCAATCTCAGACTCCCCACCAATGCTGTGCACTGCTGCCTGGCGATCAAGGGTTCCCTCTTTCAAAGACACAGAGAGACAGAACGACAGACCAGTTTGAGGGGGACCTGGCTGTCCAATCTCATGGGGAGGGGTGAACCCCTGCGCAAACACCCATGACCGGAAGAACTGCCTCTATCTGCGAAAAGGTCTTTCATGGGCAACAAGCCATGTCCTGTCCTCAAGCTGTCCTCGAGCTGTGAGGGGGGAAGCCATCCACCGAGTCCAGAAATCCTGAAAGAAACTGGCCGAAATGGCGTTACAATCAGCCTGGCTTCCACATGGCTTCGTATCTTGCGGCATGACCAGCCTTGAACTCCTCAAAGGACACCTTTCCGTCACCATCCTGATCTGAAGAGACCTCAGATTGGGCCGGGGCTTCAAGGAACTCTTTTGGAACTGCTGGTCCAAACGAATTTCTTATCGGCCTATCAGATCCTCTCGCACTGCAAGCCTTCCTATCTGTGGTTTTTCCTTCCTAGAAACATCTGGCCAACTAGATCCTTCCATTTCACCGGCTTCTGCCGGCTGTCTCCATCCGAACTCGGCCGTCTCCAAATTGTTCCCCCACGAACCGGCCACCCAAAAAGGAACTCGCTCACGCGCCACCACGGCGAAGCTCGGCCCCTTTGAGTTCTCTGAGTTTCCCGGACCAATTGCCGATCCACGAGCTGTTGCAGCTGTGTCTCTCCCAAGTTGTCTCCGACCATCATCTTCATGACCTAGAACCGACGAACCGGACTATGCTGGACTCCGAACGAGGGAACACTTTTGACCCAGAACCGGTGAGTGCGGGCTTTTTCACCCCTGGAGGTGCCAATATGATCTACATCAAATAGAAGTGCGTCCAATGTGTTCAATATAGCATCTATATACACCACTTCCATGCACCCAAAACATTCTCATGACCAGTGCGTTCATCATCTATATCAAACCGTGAGAAGCGGACACCACATCCTCGAGGGCGAGAAGCCACGCCATGCGACGAACAGCGTAACAGCCAGTCCCACAAGGGCCAGTGAGCCCCGAAGACACGATTTGAGACTACAAAAGTAATTGGCTAAGACACCCGGACCTGTTTGCCCAGCCCGAGACCTGTTTTTCAGGCTCCATGCTCCCACTCGCCCAAGAAAGACTGAAGACAACACCGCCGAGCGAATCCCCCCGGATCCACTTCAAAAGACCGCCTGGAGAGCTCCAATGCAACACAAGTCAAAAGCTCAAAAAGGATCTCTGGACGAATTTCCCGGAGGTGACCCTAAGAAACTTGCATGTTTACAAGGAAAATGCCTCACCCCCTCCAAACTCGACACCACAACAAATGAGGCTCCACGATTGTCCCCTTAGCCATTGTGCTACAACGATGATCAACGCCAGCCGTCAGCCATACCGGACGGGCAAAGAATGCTCAAACGTGGATGAGCTTGAAAATGAGTTCACAGGAGTCAGAAATGTCCGTATTTGTTCCTGTCACACAGTCTACATAGATGCTGTCTCCAATTTCGGGCTACTAAAGTCTGCCAATGTCAAGAGAAGCGAAATCCGAAAGCACTTGCCTTTTTGGGATTTGCTATGTTTGCCCATGGTTTATTGAAGCTATTGCCAATGTTTTGTCTGTTTCCATGTTTGTTCCTGTCACGCAATCACGGCAAAAGACCCTCCACAACATGATATTGCAGCCACCATAAATCTCCGGCTCAGAAGGCCATACTGGCGTCTAGAATCCATCGATACGTCAGGCATCCATAGGTTTTCCTTGTTCATCGCGATGTGTCCAGAACGTCACATCTCGAATCTCTACCAAAAAAAGGGCCATCCACACCGAAACAATCTTGCACACAAGGAACAAGGACCTCATCCTAACAACAATACAAGGCCAATGGCCTGATAAAAAGGGTTGGCTGTTTGAAGTCATTGGGTTCCAGATGCGGTCCTTCGTTATTTGTGTTGAGGATCCTAGGACGCAACGTCTCCAGTCTTTCCAACCCAAGGCGCAGCGAAGAGGTCACCGTTGGAGATATATCCGTCCTGCGGCCCCACCGGGACCCGACCGGAACATCCACCGATCAGGTGGAATATCCAAGTAAGTGGGCAGAACAGGTCGCTGGGCAGAATCAAACGACCTGATTCAATCATTGTGAGTTAGGTGACTCAGTCTAAATCTCCTGCCAAAAACGAAGTAGTCTTCGCCTCCGGTGTCCCAACTCGACACCCGCAACTGCCGGCAACACACTGCTTATTCTTCGACACCAGATTTCACACTGCACTCAAAAGAGGCACCTGGAGTCGTCACATTGATAGATTTGATTTGCAAAAAAACAACTGGATCTCAGGAAGACACGAGGCCGTGTCAAGACACTGTGACAAAAACTGTCTCTGGAAAAAAACTAGAAGCGCCAATGCTCTGGTAGCCGCCTCACTTTTGGGGATGTCTCAAATGTGACCATGCACACTCTTCCATTCAAACCGTCCTTGTTCACGTCGTAGATGGCAAAAGCAAAGCGGAGCTTGTGCTCCTGGGTGCCACTAACGAAACCGCCTCTGGTTCTTTCGACCACTGGAGAACATGATGTGAAGAAAAAAGAACGCCATCATGCAAGAAGAGACACGAAACCAAGATAAACCAAGGAAAGAACCAAGCAAGCTGATGTCGGTTAGTTTATGGGGCCTGTTTTCTAATCTAGTTTTACATCAAACACCTCCGGTCTTTCGTCCGGGTTGTGCGCTCCTCGGAGGTGCTGCCTGCCAATTTGGCCAGGCCCAGTAGGAACTCGATGAAGGACACAGTCCCGTTCCCATCCTGCGTTCAGAGCAGAACTGACCCGACTGACTAACTCCGCGTTCGGGCCGTTGGTGCTGGCGCCGTTTGTTTTTGGGGCAGAAAACGGAATCGCCGTGGTGTTTGGTTGGAACGGCAGGCTGTGATGTGAGCTATCATATGTGATCATGTTCGTCAATAAAGAGGTGATGAACAAACAAACGAGTATGGATTCCAAAGATTGATAAAGGTCTCCCCACTGCACGAGGAAGTCGAGCAAAGATGAAACCTCCGGGGCCCTGCTTGTGTGTGTACACCGACTCCCTTTTCCTCCATCATCCTTCCCCCCAACCCTCCAATGTATGCCGGCCTTGTCAAACACTGATATGACTCTTTGAACTAAAGGATTTTCCGCCAATTCCGCCACCTTGGCTGTCCGCCACCACTTTGCTGACAGTCGGCCGCGGTGGGGGGGCAAGCTGTTGGATACAGGCTGCTTCTTCAAGCCATACAAGAGGACTGCAGGATTGTTTGATATTGTTTGCGAGGACAACCTAGATGTCCGCGAGTTACTTCAGCCGACAAAACCTTCATAACTTCAAAGCTATATCTACAATCTGGGACCTTAAGACTACTAACTACTCAATAACAGCTACAGGAGAGGTTGGCCTCAGTACCCTTTGACCTTCAAACCTCCACAAATGGATTGATCAGGGGGAACACACCTATATAAAGAAGCTGCCCATGCCCTTTCTATTCCCCAAAGTGGTTCTTTGCGCCATCTTTCGCGCCAGTCTTTCCGAAAAGCTTCCGATGCTGCTGACTCTCTGCTGCTTCGATCCGCTCCACACCGAGCCTCCAAACCTGCAGACCCTTTACGGCCACTGAACTCGCACCCTTCACGGCGCTTTTGAGCGTCAGGAAGTGATCCCAGGTCCATCCCGTCGGGTCCGCGACCCGGAGGGATTCCACCCTCACCCCACGGGCGGTCGCCGCGGATGTTCGGGGCTCCGGGCTCCTAAGATTTCGTTGGGGTCGAGCTGACCATCTCCATCCTGCGGCGCAAGCCCCGCCCTCGGGGCTCTTGGAGCCGAAGGCGGAGGGGGCGCGCCGGGAGAGGCAGGGGTGAGAGGCGGTGGTCTGGGATAGAAGGACAAATGAGGCGGGTGATCCATAAAGTTTTAAGCCTCATTTAGGTGTCTGTTCTTTTTGCGGCTTTTTCTGGTCTGGTTTTTGTGGTCTGTCACTCTCGTTTGATCCACACCTGTTACTTTGAAATCGAAACAATCCGATCCTTCAAGTGAGGTGGTTGAAAAGGTTGAGTTCTGAGGTGGTTTGCACAGGTGAGCAGCGCGCAAAGTCTTGTTTCCAAAACAGGTGTTTTTGGGTGGTACAGTAGGCAAGCTGCGGTCTTCTCCTTTTGCCTGACAAAGGTCACTCAAGTGGGCTCAATGAGGTTTTTGAAACAGGAGCACCAATGGACACGTCCTGACCCAAGACACCAAAGACACCCAGAACAAACTCTGTCACTTCCCCCTGTGAAACAGGTGGAAGTCAAGGGTGCCACTTGCTTCTTTGCCAAGACTGGGCAATTTGAAGTTCAAAGGATTGTCCATCTTCATGCCTTCATATGCTTTCATTGCCCCCACTCTCCCAAGAAGGCGGCCTCTACTGTACCTACCTGGTCCCACTGGTTCAAGAAAAACGCTGACTCTTCAGTTCCTGTGCCGTCCTGGCCCGGTCGGTCCTCGTCCAGTTTTCGAAACCGATGGTAGAGGCGCGTCACATCCTGGCGTGGTACATCACTCAAGCCATTGCGCATACTCTTATAATAAGACTAGACTAAATAGTTCTCTTTACATCGGCTGCGCCAAAAGAAAGAACAATGCATACTGCTACATCAAGCAATCGTGCAAACACCCTCTGAACCAGGAACCCTCTGAATTCAGGGCACCCGGAACCCTCTCTCACATCCTGTCACCAGCCAACCAGTGCCAACCAACACGGGCCGGTCTGTTGGCACCGGTGGACATGCCACCAGAAGCCACCGTCCAGGACCCAAAGGTCCAAAACATCGGGCGACATCGGGGCCTTTTGGCTAAAGTTGGCGATGAAGTGAATTTCTTCTCGGGTCAAGCCTGAGAAAGGCTTGAAGCTTCGGATATAAACAAATAAAATGGAAATTCAATGAAAACAAGAAGCTATGGGATCGTCATCAAGGCACTCATACTGCTGTCTTCCAACTGTACCCTCCTCACAGCATTCTTCCATTCCTCTCCACCATCCCGCGTTCCCCCCCAAATCTCCACCTCCACACACCGCCCTCAACCTCCCCGCATCTTCGCTCACTCTCTTCACTCCGCTCAGCGCCAGGCTCTCTGAGTTCCCCATATTTGGTCGATGGAACCGTCACCACGGGTCCCCGATCGTATCGCTCTCGAGCCGACAGCAGTCATGCGGTGCAGCAGCACCGGTTTGGAACGAGCACGAAACCGTTCACCCCAAATGGGTGAGGTCGGTTGGAATCACTCCGGCATCAACAGAAAAAGCATGCGGTGCTACATCAGTGCTAAGTCAGAATGCCTTGAAACCCCAGATCTTGTGATGGCCGTACAGGAAAATAGCCTTCAGCTTGGTTACAGCACATCAACCGGCAAGCCAGCCTGCCCCGAGTGCATAAACTTTAATGACTTGAGGAGCTGGTAGATGATATACCTCAGATGACACAAATTGGAGCGCGGTCAAGCACACATGTTAAGGAAAATCCAGGTACTTCCTCAGTGCTTGCATCTTGCGAGCCGCCAAGCATGACAAAAAGTTCTTTTGCTTGGTTCGACTGCTTGGGATGCGCAGCTCATCTTTCACACACAAAGACATATACCAATATGTATGTATAGCTTGCCCGAGCTGATCATCGCTCGTCTCCTGGCATAGACGTTCAAAAGCTCATGTGACAGATGTGCTTATGATTGCTTGTGGATACCGCATTTCTTCCATCATCGTCAATCCCCGCCGCCCGATACCTCAACTTGACCGGGCGGCTGCTTGTGAATTTCTTCCAGGATGTTTGCGCGAATGACCGCGTGCAAATCAGACTCCATGTAGTCACATATCAAGTAGATGTCCTTCAAGAGGGGCTTCGAACAGCACAAGGAGGGCAAGAACAATGAACCGCAAAGTATAAAGATTATATAATATGCTCTGCTCATGGTGAATCTTTTCCACTCTTGCCTGAACCTATGGTACAACTGTCCGAGAGTTTTGACACATCTGTTCTTGTCCTTAGACCTGAAGACGATGAGGAAAACCCAACCAATCCACTTGCCTCATGCAACCAGTTGTGTTTCCGCTTCAGTCCTGGTCATTGTCAGCCTTCAGCACATTCAAGAGCCGCACGATGTTTTCGTGCCCGTTCAGCTCCTATGCAAAGCCATGTCCAACCCCTGCGGAGAGCTAGTTCCTATGAAGCGAGCAAGGATGGCTGTCACTTCTCCACTTCTCCACTGTAACATTTCTGAGGTACTGACCGGAGTTGACCCTTCACACTTTTTGTTCAACTCATGGATGTCCACCACTGAAGAGTCTCCGTGTTGCTTGATTCTTGAGAATGAACAGCCGCAAATAGCAACAGTTTCTTCTAGGACTCATCCGCATGCCCTACCTACATGTGCTGTCGAGGTGGCCTTACGGTTGTAAATAGTAAGGCTTCAAGGTGTCAAGGCTCTGTACGCTTGAGTGTAGGGTTTGGGCTTGGGTGGGCTTTGGTGCTTGGCTTCAGGGTTGCTCTGGCTCCTGCAAGAACATGATTTCTCGGAAGGTGCGTTGTGCATCCGTGGCATTCTGAAAGGCGTCGAAGCACTTCTTGAGAGCGACCACCTCCCCAACGAGGCACAGACATCGGCCACTTCATCGGGTTGAAGGTTCCACAAGAGGGTGGAGGGTGCCACCCATTTTCGGCCTAAAGCTTCTTGAAACTTTGGGGGATGTTCTTTCTGGATTGCACAGAAACGGGAGGTTTATACAGAATGACCGCTCGAGGACTGTAGAATCGACGACTTTTCATGGCACAGGCCCACTGGCCTGAGCTCCGATGGCGGACCAAATATCCCCAATACCCTTCATTCCCCCTTGCGTTTCATCCCTTGCCCCCTCGAGCCCCCTTCATTCCCCCCTTGCGTTTCATCCCTTGCCCCCTCGAGCCCCCTTCATTCCCCCCTTGTGTTTCATCCCTTGCCCCCTCGAGCCCC